AGGGGATTTGGTTAATTTATGTAAGTTTAATGAGGTATAGGTTTGTTTATTTAAGATTTTGTTATTTTCGAACACTTTTTTATATTAAATTATTCGACGAAATATCTAAAACTAAACCAATTGGAATATATAGGCTAATGCTGGGCAGCCTGTTTTAGCAAGTTCAAGAACCCAACACTTAAAGCTTCAAAGCTCAGTTGGGTCGTGTCCTTGCAGTTAGCTTTCAGAATGTGCTAGGCACCCTGTATCCAATCAGCGCCACCTATTGACAAGTAGATCTCACAAACTCTGTTATTTATTAAAATAGATGGCGCTAGTCTAAAAAATGTGGCATCTCTTTTCGATAGATAGAATCTGAAGTTCTATTATCGCGACTACGCGGCCTTTCTCATTGCTTTTAAAATGTACAACTTGTGCAAGCATAAATTGGTAAATATTTTTAACCTCCTATTTTACAATGTATAGAGAGAGTACAATTTGAATTTTGTACAAAAATTTAAATCTTTTTGCTGAAATTAAGAGAGGTTTAGTAAAAGAGACTGACAGCAGAAGTAAAATATCGAAAGGCACATGACGAGGTACATTTAAAATTGTCCATTGTCCATTTCATTTGACTTCAGAATCCGTAATACGATACATGGACTTAATCCTCATATTACAATCAATTTTGAAAATCATTCCCACACCGTATGTAGTTTCATTTTTTCCTTAAACTTTCAAAGGTTTTGTTTAGTTTTTGCAAGATTTGACAAAAATTATAGGCTCAGATGTAAGTTAAAAGCAGTAATGCGAAGAAATTTAAAAGTATTAAAGGTAGATATCTGGTAGGTAGGTCCAGTGGATTATTTAGTCCCAGTCTTCTCATTATAAACAAAAATAAAAACACCTTTTATATAATGGCTTACAGCAGGCATACACTTCTGTAACTGCATAGGGTATTAAAAGAACCGCACCGTTTAGGTAAACATGTCCAGCCCAAAATCATTTTGGGGCTGTCTGTGATAATATTTTGATTATTTTAAACTGGATACGTGGCCAAGTGCAGACTAACTCGCTCTTGCTTCAACTGGCTCAGTCTGTCTGGGTCGGTTGTGCTGTCCCGGGAATATTAAACTGAAATGCGCAGTTAGGAATTTGGAGCATGTTATGGCATGCCACAATTGAATTAGAAAGTTTATCGCATGCAATTCATATAAGCACACACAAGGAGTAACGCGAATGCATTTTTAACTGCAACTCGCACCTTCACTCCAAAGTCTGCTCCTTCCGCCGCTCCTGCTACTATTTTCCTCTGTGGGCTTTTTTGGACTTTAGTGCTTTGACTCTGGAATTTCTATGTGCATTTCAAATTTGCTCTTCAAACTTTTGTTTGCCTCGCATAGCTTTTAACATAACCGAGGCAAAACTTGATTTCGTCTTCTATGATGCCCCTCCCTGGACTATTTCTTGCTTCCTTAAAGTTTGCGACAAATAGAAACAGACTTAATTCTATCCGCTTTCAAGAACCGACTTTCGTTAACCGACACTAAGTGCTTCTCAAATCAATAAGCTCCCACTGTCGGTCTATCCAACCCTAACTTCCCAAATTATAGCTTATCGTAGTCAAACGTGTTTTACCTTCATTAACAACGTTTTTATTACGCATACGCCCCGTGTGACGTTTTATTTGCTCAACGTCGCTATGCGGAAGCTTTTAACGCCCGGCGAGATCATATCAGACATATATCGTCATTAAATGCCAATAAATAATGCGCTTCCAATGTGTGCAGCACGAACAAGTTTCAGCTTTAATGCCACGAATATGCTCAATTCCCTAGAGTCGCCATACAAAAGAGGCGCTTGGAGGATAGGATGTGTATGGGAGCAGCATATACGACGTGATGGTTCTTTCCCAAAAAAAGGTCGTTGCTCGCTTTTTATTTCCACCACGCTGCAGCTGTCTAAAACAGATTTTAGCCTTAACTTAGCTTGTTTATATAATAGAACTGGGCTTTTTCTTAAAGCACGGCGCAAAAAATACCTCCACGAGAGTCCTGGATGCCGCATTGTCATTATTTAATTATGCAAAAGAAAGCACAACGAAAACGTCCACATTAAAATAATGTATCGATTTTTTTTTTATTTTCCCTTTTTTGGATGGCGCAAGAAAGTGCGACAAAAAGACGCAGACGAATAACTGCATTTAAAAGTCAAGAATTTTGTTACCATAACCAGAAGACCACACAAAACTAAACACACAAACATATTTACACACAACAACGATGGGATTGTTGCAAAAAAATATACTCCAAATATTAATTTAATATCGTGTATTTCTTTGTCAACACTTATATATGTTTAATATTTTAAGCTGCGACGAAAGCTAATAGCGAAATTCCTTAAGATATATTGACCTGCCAGAGGGAATAGTCAAAAAACTGTGTCAATCAATTGTACATTATCCCATTTGAGGCAATCTTTTCTATGCTTTTTAATCAATTTGGTTATAGTGTAGCTTTTTTTGTGTTAAAATTGTTATTATGATCTTGCTATACATACATATGAACCTCCCAAGTGATTTGTAAGCGTCTTGTTTTAGAACTTTCTGATAAAAACGTTAAAGTAATTTTTTTAATTTTCGTGAAACTTGTCTGTTGCTCATTTAACTGGCCAATTCCCAATTTTCACCACTGTGATATGGACAAACAGGCAGCTAACTTGCTGGCTGGTCAGCCAGCCGCCACTTAAATACTCTGCTCAATGGGTGTGGAGGGGAGGTAGACAATGGCAGTGGCGGCATATAATCAAGTGGGTTTTCTTTATTATTTTTTGTTTGCGATGGAAGCAGGCAGCGCAGTAAATCGGATTAGCCGAGAATTATTCTTGTTGGCATTTATTTTGGTTTTGTAGCGCGTATACAAACACACACACCCAAGCCGCACTCATACACACGCACGCACAAACAGCGCCCTGTCGGAATGTCTTCGCATCTTGTGCATAGTCGCTGAGGCATTGTCCTGCCATTTTGACCTCGTCCTTGGACTTGCTGCATTGCGAGTGCGAATACAAATAAAATAAATGTCCACTTTCTGTTTTGCTTTTTAAAACTTTTTCGCTTGTTTGTCAGTTGATGGTCTTTCCTTGCTTTTGTCTTTGCCTTTGCCTTTTGTTTTAGTTTTTATTTTTATTTGCCGTTTTATTTGAGCGTAATGAGCCGCAGGCTCGGCCAAGTGTTGCGTGAGGCATTGTCATTTGGCTCCTGAGGCATGTTTAAATAAACAAGCACATTGGCTCAATCTTAAAGCCACAGCCACAGCGTCGCAACCACGTAAATCTATTAACACCCCTCTCTCGCTCTGCTGCTCTGTCGCAAAAGGTGTCGAAGTGTGCGTTAAGTGTAGCATTCTGTTTAAGCGGCACGTACTCAATGTGGCTGCCGAGCTCCCGCCCACCGCACTGTCCGCTGCCACATCCGCCACATCAAAAGCCAATCGACGGCGTTTCGAGTGCGTGCCCCTGCACACAGAGGCAGCGACGGTGGGGGCAACTTTCACAACTAATTTACATACAGCTTCTAACGCCATACCTACGTGACCATGCAAATCACATGGCCGGTGGGTTAAATGTGCGCGTATAGTACTCAAAGCTAAAATGGCTTTAATTACAATGACACTAACTGAAAGTAGTTCATAAACATAAGATTAATTTTGTTTAGGTGCAGAAGTTACAAAATTTCGGCTAAGTTCATTTTCTTTTCAATAGCATGTTCAGATATTAGAAAATAAAGCTCATGGAAGCACATGAAAGCGCATTATGTTAAGTGAACGAATGGAGTTTGAAACCTAAATTCCAAGTATTTCCTCTCAATTTTGCTTTAAATTTCTTTAATATTAAAGTCCATTAAAGATTCACCTTAGATAATTGAATATGGCATTCGCAACCCTTATGTAATACTATAAACTATAAATAATATAAATTGCAGGTGTAATCAGGTCTTAATATACTTGAGCATTAATACTCTAATTATTCCTTCTTTGACTTGTTAACACTACAATCTTTTTAACTTTTCTATATTTGTAATATTTTTTCTAATAATCAAAAAGTCTTATTCAGCTTGTGTCATATGCGAATAGTTAGAGCCCTGAAAAGGTGCCACCGTTCTGTTTTAGCGTTTAAATTAAACAGAGTGTTGGGGTGTTATTTTTGCCTTCATCATGAATAGGAAAAGCTTAAGATTGATTAAGACGTATCTATAGTCGAACACGAATGCCCCAGCACGTAACTGGAGAGGTTTTAAGCTTTTTATTTTATATGCAGTTAGACTATTTGCGTGTGTGTGTGTGTGTGTGTATGTGGGTTCGTGATGGAATCACATCCATAAACGTTAATCGCTCACTTTTATGAAGTGTAATAAATTTTATGTTACACGTTGCCAGCAATTTAGTGCTGTCCAAAACTCGAACTGAAACTTTTTTGCTGTTGCATATTAAATTCTGAGGTGGCAATAAAAGTCGGTATAGGGTGTAGTTTCTCTAAAAATATCTTTATTCATATTTGATTGGTACCCCAAGTTTTGGTATTTGGTTTGTGTTTTAAATATTTGCTATTCATTGGTTTTATCAGTTGATCAGATTTTTAGTTGCAAATAACATGAACAAACATTTACTGAATTTGTATATGAATATCATATAACAATCACATTTAGTGTATTTAATTTATTTGAATTCATTTTTGCAATATAGTATATTAAAACAATTTTCACTGTGCTAAATATATATTTATATATGTATAACTGTATGTATATTTAGGTACATACAAGTACATATATAAGAGTTGACTAATAATAATTATAATTCCCAATATTATGAACTTTCTATCAATTTTTCTATAAATATACTCATAAATTTGTATTTTGGTGTTTGATTCATGTCTACAATAGAATATTTACTAAATAGTAAAATAATTACATTTGCAAACATTTTATTTTTGTTTATTTATTTTTTTTTTATTTTGTGTATATCTTTTGTTGAGTTCAAATAATTTACAATTAAAATTGAAGCTTAAATATTTTATTCGCACGCTTTCATGGTTGGCTTTCATTGAAAGTGGGCCCAAGCAATTGTCCAATGCTCAACATTATTTGATTATCTCATTTTGTGTGTGCTGCAAATCGATTTAAATTCTTTAATGACTCTTAGCAATATTTAAATAAATTATTTGCCGTGCTGTGCTGTGCCTTACATTAATATTCAATAAACGTGAGATACAAAAAAGTTTAAAAAAACAAAAAAAAAGTCTCTTGTGGAGAGTACTTGACAGAAGGATAGCCTTTAAAATGTTGCGTCATAATATAAATAGGTATATGTAATCAAAATTGGACTTATATTGTCTCATACTTAAATATACAAATGACAATTATCAGATCGTTATGAATATTCAGCTTTAACCGTTGCCTAGTCGGAATCATTTGTCAAAGAGAAACTGAATAATCGGTGAGTATTAAGGTTAACGATCGCTTATGTATTTCCTTTCCATCGATACATGTGTACGGTACTCCCTTTAATTTCCTTTAGTGATACAGGGTATATGAAACATAACAAAAGTATGTGAATACATCATCTAACCGAAAATATGCAGCGTATGTGTTAAATGAATGCATTTCAAATGCAACATAAAAGCATAAATAATTAAATTAATATTATTTGGCATCGCATTGAATAAGCTTGTTTGGCTTAAACTCAAATTGTGCGTTACACGATTAAATTGTAATTATAATGTGGAATATATGTTAGCATTACTATAGAAAACTATGTTGAAATTTATATATGTCGAATTACATGTTATAATGACTAAGTGCGTTTTAATAGTCGTGCATTTCTTTTGGAATATATATTTAATATTAAAATTGATAGTTATACTATTTAACATGATTCTTAAAGGACTGACATTTTAAAGTTGTAAAAACTGAAAAGTTCTTTTTAATTATAATTTTTATTGGTCACTTGTTGCTTGATTTTAGGTACTGCGCACAGTTCAACTTTGTTGTTTTTGTCTTTAAAATAAACTAATCGAAACCTAAGGACTTTTTTGCTTTCACTGATGCTTGTAGTGTGTAGAGTGAGTGTGTGTGTGTGTGTGTATGTGAGTTAATAACATTTTATTTTATTGCTTTTTGTTCTAACACATGCTCAGGCCCAGTGCCAGACCCATGCCCAGGAGCAGTTGCAGTTGCAGTTCCAGGGCAAGGTCTGGTACGGGCTTTTAATTTAATTACCCTGCTAGTATCATTGGAGACTACGTCTAACCTTTTGCCTTGCCAACCTAACTCAATGTCTTGTCTAATCTTAATGTTAACTCAACGGTATGTATATTGAAAAATGTGTTTTATAGTGTTTGTATATAATAAATAACTTCTATACAGTTGCTACAATTTACAGCTCTAAAAAGTCTTAACTGCTTTGTTATATGCTGGATAAATGTTAAGGTAGCAATGACATTAGCTGTAAGCTGGGTTGAATCGAAGTGTTTAAATACAATAAATGAATCCCTACAGCATAAAGCTCAACTGAATTCCTTCAGCTAATGCCACTTAAACTTTTTTAACAGCGATTTCAAATTTGGTATAACGCTTCTATAAACTTTGCTCTTAGGCATACGGAATGCCAAAATCAAGAGCTTTTACATTAAATATGTATTGTATATGCAGCATAACTAACTTTGATTATACACAACTCCCCTAAATTTATTTATATATATATTTGTTGTATATAATTTTATGTTTAAATTTGTTTTGTATGGAAAGTCCGTTGACCTGTGGTTACAATGCTAATTGAGTGGTTTTACACTTAGGCTCTACAATTTCTGTGTTTAGCTTTTCATGGGCTTTACTTAAACACTAGTAATTGATACAAGTAGTGTGTGTGTGTGTGTGGGTGTGAATGTGTGATACTTATGTATGTGTTTAACATTTAAGATTAAACACTTTCGGCCTCCTCTCAGAGATAATTTGGGCGAGACATGCAGCATAGTAGACTCATGTTCTTGCATATATAATTCTGGCGTCGTTTTGCCGGCCAAGGAGTATTTGTATCCAGCGCCGCATTGCGTTCTGTAATTGCCAGAATGAAAGAGTCGCACATATGTACATACAGAGTTTGATTAATGAATGTGTGACTGAAATGTGAACACATAAGTTCAAATAGCAGTTGGCAAGCTTTATACCCTTGCAGAGGGTATTATAATTTTGTAATCTGTAACGCATAGAAGGTGACATCTTCGATCCCATAAAGTATATATATTCTTGATCAGTATCAATATCCGAGCCGATATAGTCATATCCGTCTGTCTGTTTATATGCGAACTAGTCTCACAGCTTTAAAGCTATCGTCAGGTAACTTTGCAAAAGTCCCTCTTTCTGTTGCACGCAGTACATAAGTTGGATCGGACCACTATATCATATAGCCGCCATAGGATCTATCGGTCAAAAAGTAGGTTCTTGTATGAAACATTTTTTTGTTTTTCAATATATCTTAACCATACTCGGTATTGACTATTTTTCCTGTGCTTCTTAGATACGGACAAAGCATTATGAAAAGGTTGGATCTGCAAGGGTATTAAGTCTTCGTCGTGCCGAATATAACCCTTCGTTCTCGTTTTGCTGTGTAATAGAATTTCGTTTGGCCTCCGGCTGGACCCAGGCTAAATGTGAAAGTGCAAAGTGCAGAGGCGACTGCGCAGTAAACTCACCCAAATATGCCTCGTGCTGCGGCATATACTCCTGCAACTCGGATAGCAGCATGGCAATGTCCTGCGAGTCCTTTGTTATGCTGCATAATTCCTCCTCATTGAAATCGGGCGTAATTTGCTTGCACAACAGAATTTGGCTTATAACATTGCCCAGATTTGAGGGGCCCGCACGATTCTCTACAAAAGGAAAGCAAAATATCAATATAAAGCTTCAGCTCAAGCGTTTACGTCAAAAGTCAAGCTGCGAGAGTGTGCCATATTAAAGACAACCCAAATTGGACAACCCATTTGCCTTTAGTTGTGCACTCTTTTTGCACTTAACCAATAAAAAAAATAGTTTTCTCTTTATATACATTTTTTATATGTTGCACGGGCTTTGCCTGCATACCATGAAAAATAAATAAATTGGCATTTACCAGTATTTATTTGCCTCTTTTTAATGCAAACAATTTTCTTGCCGGCTTCTGTGTGTGCTTGTATGCGTGTGAGTCTTTTTGTTATTTTTTGCTTCATTAGCTTTGTTTTTATTTGCCATCCGCACTCAAAACATGGCAACAGCATTGTTTTTATAAAGCGACCATCAAATTCGCCTCTATAAAGGTAGTCTTGAATCAATTTGAATTTCTTTAAGATTAGTAAAATGTTTTTAAATTTTACACAAACACTCTAGTTTTGATACGAAGTGAGGAAGGCTAGAAGCAATTTGCCAATATGATCGTTGGATAGGCGATGTTAATTTATGCATCAAGAATCAAATATCATTGATCAGCATTTTTGCTAAATGGTGGTAACTTTAGACTTACAGAGGTAACTGTGCCTTTTTATTAAAATACTTGTGTTTAAAAAACAAATTGTAACCTTTAAAGAGTTCAATATGTGTATAATATTTGCCGATATTTGCCCCGTGTTCTATGCGCCATCAATTTTCGATTACCATCAATCTTCATCAGTGCAAATGCAGCTGGGGTAATTAAAATAATATTCGACATCTAAAAAATTGTCGAGTTTTATGCCACGCCGGAAATCCATTTATTTTATTATTCACCTCGACGTATACGCAATATACGTATGAAAAGTATCGCATATATTGCGGGAGTTGCAATTTTTGATTTATGTAAGCCGCAGCTTTTAGCTGGCATCGGACATTTTTAAACTTCCCCTACCCTGCATTGAATCTGAGGGCATATATTTTTAAATATTACGCCTGTTCCCTTCGCAAGCCCTGCTCCTTTTGTGTCATCCACATGCACATACAGTAGAAACTCTATTTCATAAGGCCTCGTTTTTGCATTATTTATGACATTTTCATTGCACGATGCTGCATTTTTGGGCACTATGTGAATGCGTTGGCTGCCATAAACTGGCTGCAGCCAAAAACCCACAAAGCCACGACCCCGCCGAGGATTCTGGCCTCAGAAATTCGCATTGTAAATATTTGCATTTCCTTTACGCTGTTGACAGTTGCGGGCTTAACGGGGGCTGGTAATTAAAAAATGTATGGTCAGCAATTTGCGTTTTGGCATTATTGAAGTGGAGCCCGAGCAGGGATCCGACGAACCAATCAGTCAAGGCCAAACCAAAGAGCAGGGAAAACTTTTGCACTCGCACGTTCGTGCTTCAACATGGCCAATGAATGTTGGCAATCAAAGCTGGTACAGTCAAGCGGAATTCAACTGCCAAATGGCAAACAATGGCTAAGCACTTGCAGCGCTTGTCCTGAATTGCAATGACAAATAAACAAAGCACAAACACACACACAGACACACCCCCATACACTCACGCGCACATACACACCAGTTTAAAGCCCATTTTAAAGCCAGCTTACCATAATAGCCAGACATATCCATTGGCACAACTTGTATGAGCCGGTAGCTTTTCACCAGCTCACGTAGAAACAGCTGAGCCATGTAGAAGAGTAGTACCAGGTGCGGATTGTCGGTGAGTATGCCTTCGGCCATTGCGCTGAAAAATATAAGTAAATGCATATGCAAAAGGTAAATCTATGTGTTTCAACTTTCATAGCTAGGATGTGCGCGCATGTATGTGTTTTGTGGCACGGCAAATTGCATGCGGAAATTGAGAAATGAAATTTATATGAATTTGATGACATTTTTGTTATTGGGGTCATGTGTGTTGGGATAGGCGGTCACTCACTGGGTCAAATAAATTCATGGGGCCCAGTTCTAAGGCCATCGTCAGTAGCTGACTCATAGCACAACAGTTGATCATATTTATACTGGTAGCCAAATATGCATTGAAATTGATTTAAGTGTGTGTTTGTCAAGATATTTGTCAATATTTTCCACAAAAGTAAGAAATAAAAATACAAACTATGCGGGTCTGTGTGGCAATGACACTGCATCCAGATTTGAGCTCCATGAGCGGCATGAGACAACAGCAATTCAGCACGATGGAATCTTTCACGTGCTAAACTATATTTTAATTTTTAGTTGAACAGACGATCTCTCATTTTTAAGCCTAATTGCAGTTTTTGACATTTGCAAATAATTAAAATGTACTGAATGGAGCCTTGAGCTTCAAGACACTCTAGCTTTAAGTTTAAAGTTTAATCTATTGAAGTCTTAAAAGTGTTTCCAAATAAAAGCAGATCTGAGTGAGTGTATTTCTCAATTTGAAAGCACTCTTGAGATATAAGTGTATCAAATCAAATTGCATTTAAAGCGCTCACAAATCCCAAGTAATATGCATTTTTAATGGCTAATATTTTAATTTTATGAACATAATCGTTTTGAATCGTTTATTTGGCATTTAAAACCCAATTATGCTGCAGCGTTAGCTTAAATCAACTATGGCGCATAACGTGGAATTGCTTCTTGAAATGCTCATAATTCAAGTAATGTTGAGAATTTACAGCTGCTGTATAATTTGGTGCTTAGTTGGGCATCCACAGCATTAATTCTGAGCTGTGACGCTCGCAAAGCAATTATGAAGCGACAGACGACACATAAATACGATATAAATTGCCATAAACATATTTGCAGAAGCATGAAAATAAATTCAATTTGTAAAATTGCTTTTGCATTGCCAAAACTTCGAGGAAAAGGGAGACTCCAAATGGAGATGCTAACTAACAATTTATATTGAATTATTTTGCTGGTCGCAAAGATACCCCGTGCCTGTATTTTCCTGCGGCAGTACATTAAAAACAAATGTTGGACTATAAGTAATTCATTTAAGTATATTAGGAATTATCAGGAATTATTTTTATAAATTCCATTCAACATTTCTTTCTCTTAAGAACAAGAAATATTAAAATATGCATTAGAAATCGGTGTATCCATAATTTGAGCTCTGTTCCATGATGAAATTTTAATTTTTTTTTGTATTCTATATTATTATGTTACACATATATTTATAAATATATATTATAATATTTAAGATCTATGATTTACATGTTAGTTTCACATGCCCATGGCATAATAGGTTAGTAGAATGAATTATGCAACTTCCTTGGGCCAGTTATATAGTTACAGGGTATAAATACATTGCTGGAAATGAAAAATATATTTTACCCAAATTACCAACTTGTCGGACAAGCAGTTCGGGCGTCTGCTCAGTCCCTAATCCCTAAATCCTGAACCCACCCACAATACCGGTGAATACGGAAAGTGTGGCCGTGTCCTCTGCACAACTATCTTCATGCCCTTACATCCTCACCCCCTGCCGACGTCAACACCCATTTTTGCTATTAAAGCAAATAAATTGCAAATTAATCTTGCCTTAGGGTGTCCCTGTTCATCTCTCACTTAGTGTGTGTGCCGCTTTGTGTGCCTGTTAATAGCTGAACCTAGTTAAAGCGATTGCGATTTGGTTTCGTTCTCCATGCAAAGGTTCATTCCTGATAACAGATTGCTGAAGGTGTGTGGCTAAGAACACAGAAATGCTGTTGCTTAACCCTCCAGGAGAGAGAGGAAGGCATGTGTCACATTGAAGAGGGATAATTATGTGAATAGAGCATTTAATTGATTGCGTGTCCCGCTTTATTCGAAGTTAATTATGTACAAGGCAAGGCAAGTATAGCAGACGGAGCTGGGTATATTGATAATAATGAATTCTTGATTAGAACGATATGATTTTAATCATATTTTTATCTCTATGAATAAAACTGTTTGTCCCGACTAATTGATTGACCGACTGACTGGCTGCTATGCGGTTCTCAAGAATTTATATAAGATTTGGAGGATGAAAGCCTTACTTACTTAATACTTTATTAACGAAATGTGTTTACAGAAGTCTGTCTTCCTTCCTCTACTATATGGCAATCAAATAATTGCACATTATCATACATATCATATGATATATAAATGAAACTTGAATGCAAATTGGGAGCAAACCTTATATGAAACTTTTTTGCTTACTATTTATCTGCAAATTCATGTGAGCAGTGTATTAAACTTTTCGTAAAATTAACTATTGCTGATTGAAATATGGGCACAAAATCTCTACATTATTAGGAATGAATACATTTGTTTTTTCTTAAATTCAATCGACCTCGAACCCAATTTCAAAAACCAACATAATAATGCTCCATAATCTTTACTCCAAAAAGTTTGCTTTTAAGATTCAAAAATAAATGGTTGTTCCTGTAGACAGGAAGAGAGCTCACTAATGACCCATGTTCTAACAAATTCACTTAATTTCTTAATTTTCTATAAATAATACGCGACCATAAGGAACAGACTTGAATTCTGCTGCAACTTTCCATAATTTCGTAATTGTGTAGCATATTGAATTAATAGAACTTTCAGTTTTATGTGCTTAAAATATGTTTACATTAATGTTTAAATTAATGCATAGCAATTTTTTTCCTCAAGCTTCATGGCGCTGAGTGAGGGACAAGGACATATTTTTATGGTTTTCTATTACTTTCTTTGAACTGAAAGCTATCGCTCTGGCCTTGTCTCTTTTTATCTCCTTCTCTCTCTATAGTTCTGTTGCTTTCTTTGTCTGGTGCTTATTGCTAAACACATTAACGCGGCTCATTTTCACTGACAGCAAAAAGAACAACGCAATAATAAGTTTAAGAAAATATATATACTTCTTTTAAGATTGAAGATTGAATACCCTTTCAGACTGATCGCCAATATAAATTGCTTGTTGGGTATTTTGTTAATGTATACATACATCTTACTTTCTACTTTATGTTTTACTCATGAAAACTTGCCGGATCCGACAGAAAATGTATGCAAAAGTTCCAGAAATTACAACAACTTTTGCAAAAAGCAAAAAGACTGGAATGAGCTAAGTCTGCAAACCATCCAAAAAATGAAAACAAAAACCCAAAATGCGAGAAATAAAAAAAATCAGCAACCAAATGGATGCCGGAGCCGGGGACTGTCAGCAGCTGCTGTTGATTACAGTTTGGACGTAACTTTCATTTATTGCGAATAACAGTGAAATATTTTTTATTGTGCTGCGCTAGCTTCAAACTCAAGATGTGTTTTCTTTTGGGTCGCAAGCGCCAAAGAAAATGGCAAACGGCAAAAACGAGCTTTCCAACAAAAATTGCACAATTATGCGTTGAGTGAGGCGAAACTGAGAATTGAGGGAGCGAGAAATGCGACGTTCGTAAACTGCGTTTAACGTGCGATTTCTCAAGGCAATGCGTCTTGTCGGACAAATCGAAGTTATTAACTGCAGCTGCGACGTGCTGTAAAACTCTTCGTGGTTTACGGCAATCGTAAAAGTGTAAAGAATCTGGCTACGTGACGACCCCACTCAATAATCGTACTCTCAATAATTTAGCGCCATTCTCACTAACATGACCGCAGCGCCCAGAGCCCAGAGAATCCGGCATCGAGTGTCGAAATAACAAATAATATTGCTGTAAAACCCAGAAAGAGATGCCGAGCGAAGGGTGTTCGACTGGGAGTTATCCTACAAACAGGTCTTAAATATTAGCTAGATCACTTTTTCAAAGTTCTTTAGATAAGCACTATATACGCAGAGAGCAGTATTGGTTATCTAATGTATCCAATCAGGATTAATATTTATTTATAGTAATATTAAAATAAATATTACTATATATTACTATATACTATATTTACTTGCAAAAAAATATTTGAGGTTACCGATGTGTTCAATAATATTAAGGGATAAAAAAAGTCATTTGATGAGTTTCGAGAGAATTGTGAACATAAATGTTACATGTCGCAAACAGTTTTCTAGTTATCATAAATTTGTTAAATATTCTGAATATTAATCAGTTAATATATTCTTTTTCCAGAGGATTAGAATAAATGTATCTAGCTAGTTTGGGTGAATACCTGCTCTTTTTGATATTTGGATCAAGCTTGGAAAACTTGGGATCAGAATAACATTTTTTAAGCGCTTATCTGGCACAGTCTAGCAAGATACAACGTTCAAGCATGAAGACACATATATAATCTAAAGAGCAACAACTGTCTTAACTACCTTTTTGCACAATTCTTATGGCTACAGGGTAGTTAGCAACAGTGCCAGGAAATATGTATGTGTAGCCAGGCAGACATTTGCCATCGATGCAGTCTGCAAGACTCGATATTGACTTCGGTATATGCCCTGTGGGATCCTGACCAGTCAGTCCCATTGTTGTGTTTTGTGTGCACTGCAGTTTTCGTGTCGTCAAGGACACAGAAAGATGACGGCGATCTGTGGACATTATTTGCAGAGGAAATGCGTTTAAGCCAACATGACGACTATGGCTTGCCTTCGGCATTCTGATGAGTAACTGGCTGTCAAAACAGGTCCCAACGATAACAGTTAAAACAAAGTCAGCCAGCGACAGTAATTTAGCAACAACAAACAGCTGCTGCACATAACTGTTAGGCAAACACGAATATACAAATACACAACAGCAACAACAAGTACAGGGGCAAATACAGTATGTGAAATGAGCGCAGTAGAACAACAGTTGGACGAACGGGAACACGTATACGCAGCGTTGTATGTCGAGAAATGTGTTTGTGTACGGCCGAGCAAACAAACAAACGAACATGCAAACAACTATCAGTCGCTTAAGCAGTTGGCCAAAGTGCTGTCTGCTCAGGCAGGTGGAAGGAGCAGCGGGGCCAGGTGCCGGAAGCTGGCGGAAGATGCGAGTAGCTAGCGGAAGGCGCTGGAATGTGGAATGTAATATCTGCTGCTGCATCAAGCTAACTGCGTGGGCTACTTAGGGTGAAAGCAAACTTTTCTTTTTGCCTACCTGGCTGAACGGTATTATAACTTGCTCAGACTGTTTGCTCACGGGCATTCGCTATGCCGTGTAATACCTATTGAAGTTTGGCATAAATAGGAAAACTTACATATAACTTTCAAGCCTTGGAGACTTAATGCTATGCAAGTATGTGGGCAAAGGCTTATAATGTATAAGATATGAAAATAGGCAAAGCGCATGAGGAATTCGTGACCTCAAATTTTAATTTGATGGAAGCTTGATTTGTGAAAATATATGTAGAAGAACAAAGCACAAAAATGCATGAAAACTAGTTAAATTTTGACAAAGTTAAAGGAGCTTGTATTTTAAAAAGGGAAATTTTACAAGTTACAAGTTTCATACATAAAAAACATAAATAAATTATCAGCTTAAGAATTCTTTAAGTAAAGCTTCTTTTGTTTGGTTAGAGTATATCAGCTTCGGCATGTGTTACACACGAAAAGTACCTACTTAATTTATGTGTGCAACGTTTTTTTTCTCTTTTGTTTGCTTTTGTGACTTTGGCTGCCTCACATGGTGCGGCATGTGTTTACAAAACATAACAACAACAACTAAACACTGTCAGAAAGTTTAGTCTGTGTCATTGTCAAGTTTCGCTCAAAGTTTTTCCAACGCACACTCCCACGGCTCTCCGCCCTGCCCCCATCCCCTTTGCTTCGGCAGCAAATACTTTTTACTTTATTGAACTTTTACATTCAATTTAACTTTCTGGCTTGGCGCTTTGATCTGTCGCCGCTGTCGCTGCTGCTGTTGTCGCTAATTCATTGCCATCACTCATACGCCGAGTGCGCCGCTGGGTAGCTCGACGGGAGGCTGCTGCTGGTCGAGTCTTTCCTCTACATTTTTGCCAATTTAAAGCCAAAAACTAATTGAAATATCTTGTGCCAGCTTTAATGGCGTTTTTTTTCTTTGTATTTGTTGCCTTTGCTATTGTTATTATTTCGCTTGGCTTATAGCCAGAGACAATCATCAATTTCAACTGCCGAAAGTTGATTTTTTGTTGGTCCCTGCACTTTTTAAGCTCAAGTTACCAAAGGACAAAAGAGTATATTTGTTTTTCTTTTGCAATGTTTCTTATGCTCCTATAGACATTATTAAAGCTGGAGCCCTATTTTTGGTATATACAATATATCCTCCTATGTCCACTAATATTTTTTCCTTTAACAGCCGCTTATCCAAAAAGGTGACCATTCAAGTATAATTTCTCTATGAACAGAGTACTGCACAGTCGGGCGATTTTTGTCTGCTTGTTTTACATATACAAAAATTACAATAACAAGTACAAATGCTCGTTTTTTAAGGATTGACATTTCTGCTGTGCTGCAGTGACATTTAAAGCGTCTGCTCCATAATAAATCACACTGTCATAGGGTGTTCTTAAAAAGCAAATAGCAGACACCCCAACACACCCACACCCTAACCCTCTCGCGTTCTCTCGTTCACACACACGATTGACAGTCTGTTCTATTGTGTTTGTGACTGAAATTACAAAAAGAAAAGACAACAAAAAATGCTTTATGTATTGTGTATGAAATTTCGCTCAAGTTGTTTGTTAAAAAGTTGGCTTTTTTTCTTCTTTTCAGCCAGTCTTGAGTTTTGAAGTTTAGGCAGGGTGTGATAATGGCGCATGTGTGACAGCCACATGGGAATTCATTTTGTAACAATTTATGCTTCAACGACAGCATAAATCAATAACTTGAGAACCTGCGTTGAGTGTATATGAGGGGCTTAGCTGCCAAAATTCTAAATGCCTTCACTGGTTATAGCGGAAAGAGTTCTTTATTAAAATTGAAATATAAGCTGCTTACAGATATATTCAGGAGCTATTCTATACTGCTGACTCTTAAGGTTCTGGAGCTGCTAGTCGCCCAAACAATTTACAATACACTTTGTGGACCTAATGTAACACTCAAGCGGTTTAAGCGCCTTATCGCAGTTCCTTAAGAGTTTTTGGCAAGGAAACGAATTTAAGATCTGATTGAGTTTTGCAAGTTCTCTTTCCAATAAATGTTAAGCAAATGCTTCAAGCCATATATTTTCTTTTATTGCTTTGTTGTTTGGTTCGAATGCTATTTGTATAACTGCTTGCTCATTCCCCAAGCAAAGGGACTACATACTCCCACACACTCAGCCCCACACATACGGTTTTTTCATCAACAGCTTTAATGAAAGAAATTGCATGCGTGTTCTGTTGTGCCCGCAGCTCGTTGTAAACAAAATGTTATTAACTTTTTACTCTGTGTCCGTGGCCCACGGCAACTGTCCAAAAAGTTGAACCCAAACCCGGCAAAACACATGCTGCTAAATTATGCAGCATCCGAAATTGAATTTCAAACTCAAACGCCAACCGGTACTAACTCATTTCAGGAACTCAAGAGCTGACTCACAGTCGGAGTCGAAATTAGTATGGGACTGCGACAGCCTGCCAGAGGGATGCCAACAGCGACAAATTGTTATTTATGTTATCCCTTTTGCATATACGGGTACCTTTCCGTGGGTTGTCCCTCTTGTAAATTTGACTGCAATTAAATTTGCATACATTTTCATAAAATGTACGACTTTAAAAGCTTTTTCAACAAAATATAACATGAATGTAAATAAGCTCGATTGGAAGATACCCTGCAAGCACACATCAATATAAATATAAAATTAAACTTTTTTTTTTTAATCTAGATGAACCTATAATGACTCTTAAGATATGTTTTGTTGCTGATAAAATATATCAGCGAATAAATTCAAATATTTAAATAAACCTCATATTTAATACTGAGCTGTGCAGATCGAGTGCGTGATATACTAAATAAAATACCCTTTTACACCATTTTTTTTTACCAGAGGGTATTGAAATGTTAGCCGTAAAATGTCACACACATGTTGATGTTTATGTTTATGCTAATGCGATGCGTGTTACTTGGGTCTACAATGGAATGAGGTCGGGTTGGCATGGTCTGATAAGTCTATGATGGTTCTTTGCTTACCTCTTGACCTGTGGCATAAGTATCTGTGCCGTGTGCTTGAATGCCTCCACACAGGTGCGTCGCAGCTTGCGTATCTTTTCGCGCAGCTCGGGGCAGTCCTTGGCCTGGCCGACATGTATCAGCATGTCGCGGAAGAGCGCCACATGGCTGTTGATCTCCACGATGAGCTGCAAGTGCAAGGCAAATGATTTAATTTATGCCAGCATCGGGTCAGAAGCGCTTTAATACAAAGTTCATACTTAATTTATGCCAAGTCCTCTATTGACCCGTTCAAATTGCACATTATACAGTTTAATTTATGCAGCAGCAGCAAAAATATCCTCAATATACAGAACCGCAGGCGCAACAATATTTTTGGCCTATTTTCTGGAACGAGCCGCTGTCGTTGATGTAGTTTTTGTTGTTTCCCTTTTACGGCTCATTTGCTAGCTAGCGGGGGGCGGTTGAGGCAAATAAATCGAGCAATCGAGCCTAATTTTCTAGCCGCTGGCCAAATCGGACTCATAAAAATTAAAATGCCCAACAATGCAAAGCCGTTAAAACGAAAGGATGTAGCTCCTTCCATAGATCGTCTTTTGTTTATTTCCCTACCGCCGGAGGGTGTTTTTACGAACAAACATAATTATGCTCATTAAATTAAGCCATTGAAATGCAATGAGAAAGTAATAATATTTATACAGCCAAAGCTTAGTTTTGGCTAGGCAAGCACTTATCTTATGGTCTATATATAAAATACATTTTGCCTTCACTGATAATAGGCTTGCCTTTGTTCTAATAAATATTATTTGTTATCTATTCTCATTTTGCTGGAATTTTAATTCTTTCCTAGGAGTCGTCGCTCAGGGTATGATTCTTACTCATATTTAAATAGCCTATGTCCTCTCTATTATGAGGTTCCCACTTTGTTACTCTAATGTTAGTTGTTGTCTCTTTGTACATATAACTTAAAAAGACTCCCCAATAAAAAGTTTACTGTCGCTTTTACAACTACATTTTATGTCTTTTTGTTGCCCTGCATGTGAACTTATATTTACAACAGTCCCCACCATTTTTTGACATCAGTCGTAGCACTACAAAAATATTTGATTATTCTTCATGGTCACTAAAATGACATTCAAGTAAGTCCTTACCTCATATCTTCAGTTTACAAATCTTAAGTCCAGCTGTCTTTTCTTTACAACATTTATTTAAGTTGTCCTTCATGCTCACTTTTACTTCATATAATCCCCAAATCTAGGCATTATGTTAACTCTTAAGCCATATTAAAACATTTAAATAAACTACTCATTCAATTCAATTTACACTTTGTTTCAGTGGTATATGTCTGTAGAAATAGAATTTATCTCTTCAACGACATAAAACTATAAAAACATTTTCGTAAGTTTATCTCATTTTAATCATTTTTTGTTGGTGTTCGCCTTTAGCAATTTGTTTTGCCGCTTGTGAGTATTTTTAGCCAAACAAGAGATTAATTCCGCAAATATATTTCGTACAAATCGACGTGGGCAAAGCGTGAGCATGTGCGCCACGCCCACTCGCAAATGAGCCAGCAACGCGCTCAAATATTTATGACTGACTCTCCACGCAACGACAACAACAACAACTACAACAACACATCAACAGCATTGGCCCAAAAATATACCTTCCTGCTATCTCTTCCTCCCGCAGCGGCAGGCACTTCATTTAAAACGCGGCGTATGCGTAATTTTAATAATCCTCCAACGGCTGACGCCGCCGGCGAATGCAAAGTGAATTTTGTGGCTTGACTCAATTTGAGCTGACAGCTGTGCGGTTGTCAGAGGGCAAACAGAGAGAGAGAGAGAGGGAGAGACAGGCAGATTACGGGGCAAGGGCCTTATATCTCGCTATGAAATATATGCATGATTAGTCATATTGACAATGGCATGAAGGCATGCCAGAGGGGTGGCAGAGGGAAGCGTTGCACAGGCGGCAGCACTTAAGCAAATTGCTTATTAAAAGTACCAAGTTCTATGAAATATTCTAGGCGTAGAACTTTCGCCAACTAGGCACAATGAAGGCATTCGCCTGTGTATGCGGTAGGGGCGTGGCACGGCCATTGCTTTGTAGTCAATCATTGGCAAAATGTTGTTGGGCCAGCAGCTGCTGTTGCTGTTGCTGGTGGCTGTGCAACATTTTATTGGTTCTCATATTGGGCGTTTCCCTTGACTGTTGACATTTGGCAAAGCTGAGGCTCTAATTGCCCAAAAGCTGCCTTAACGAAGTACGCGTCTCATGTCAAGCAAGTCTGTTTCGTTTCAGAGCCTGCAGTAGTGTGTATTTCTGTGAAGAATACCCTTTAAAGAGGATCCACCAAGCTTTTTATATGCACACAAAATTAATGAAGAGCAGTTTCTTGGAAAAAGATAGCCTTTCTATGAAATGGCACGAACTTTGACAACAATAAAGGTTTCTCAAAAATTCAAGCGTGTGACTGTTTGTTGTGGTCTTAAATTTGAATACCTGTACATTCGCGATCTAGCTTTCAAAGCGTGCAGACGTGCAGCTCTGTTCGATCGCCGCGCACAAAAAACGTTGTTTTTTTTTTTTTTTTTTTCTCTTTAAATTTCACCGTTATTCTATTGCTCGCGCGCAAGTTTCGCGCGGAGAAACGGCGCCAGACATCGGAATCGCTCTTTTGTGTCGGTCTTTCTACTACAAAAAAGTTAATTTCGTTGTGCGTATACAAACAAAATACGTGGGCCCGCTCTGCGAAATTCTGCAGAAAAGGCCCGAGGAATTTTCGAAGCAAATTTTAAATGGAAAACAATCGCAATCACATAAAACTTACTTCAAGCATATTTAAAATGACTGATTCAAATCGCGAATTTGCAAACATTATGACTAACCATAATAATAATTTTCCCCAATTGCCAGAGGGCAATGCGGATCAGCCCACTGCTGATAACGGCTCTATTAATGAACAACCGACCAATCCGTCACCGCGCCACTTGCTAATACAGCAAAAAAAACGCAAGCTGCCCAACTCTCCAGCTTTAAACATAAAAAAACAGCTACAAACAATAATAACACCATCAATGCCACCAATGCTACCGCCGCCAACAACTCGGCACTAATCGACAATAATCCTTTAGAAGGTAACCCATTCGCCATTCTAGCAGAAGATGAAACTCCTGATATGGATCTAGATGAGTTATTTCCTGGTCTTGTTCCACCTCAAAACCATATCCTCGAAAGTGAGCTACCCAGTACCAGTGCCGCTGCTGCCCGCGCACGGTTAACTGCCGGATCACAGTCTAACAATAACACTCCTGGACACACAGCCAAAAAAACCTCGAAGCCGCCACCTATTGTCATTCAGGACGCAGTCAATCTTCAAGAGCTTTTAATCTGTATAGAAGAAGCTTGCGATTTGGACAACATTGAAGTCAAATCCTCGATGGGAGGAATAACAAGAATTTACGCCAAAGATTCTGAAAGCTATCGAGCAACTGTCCGTCAGCTAAACGCATATAAAATTGAGTTTCATTCGTACCAATTAAAAGAGGACAAGCCTTATAAGGTGGTTATTCTAGGACTATCCCCCTGCACATCTAAGACACAGATTGAGGACCAACTAAAAAAATTGGGCCATCAAGCTTTAAACATCTACAACCCCAAATCAAGGAAGACAGGCAATCCTATGAACATGTTTTTCATAGGTCTAGTCCCCAAAGAAAATAACAAAAATGTTCTTGGGTCCAAACTTTTCTGCAGACAGAGAGTAAACATCGAGGTCGCAAGGAAATCTTCCGAAATAACTCAATGCCATCGCTGCCAGGATTACGGTCACACATCCAAATATTGCCATCGAGAATACATTTGCGTCGTCTGTGGCGAAGAACATAAAACGTCCGATTGCACACGTCCAAAAAATACTCCAGCCACTTGTGCCCTGTGTGGGGGTGATCATCCGGCCAACTTCAAGGGCTGCGAAAAATTCAAACAATATTTGCAACGAACACAGCCTAAGAAAAAACCTACAAAGAGTGCAGGACCCTCGAGCACATATACTGCTTTGGCGCCATCCCCTTACGTAAAAGCAACTGGAATCTCCTATGCAGACATGGCACGTAGTCATGCAAACAGAGATCCCAAAAGGCAGGCTCCACTTAATGCTACCAATCATTTTAATAGTGATACACATAACTACCAACAACAACACCAAGGGCACACAACCCAGCGAGTACATTTGCGACAACAGCCGCAAAATAACCAAGCTCAATCGCCTTTCACCTTTTCCCAGTGGGAGAACGAAGCGGCTCATGAGACGAAATTTGAGCAAATGATTAAAGTGATGCAAGAAAACTTTAATAAATTCTTCGAGCAGCAAAATAAACTATTTGAGATGCAGAGCCAAATAATGGCTCTACTTATCTCGGCCAACCAAAAATGAAGCTCAAAACACTAGTGTGGAACGCCAGGGGTCTGACTGGCAAAATGCTAGAGCTATGTAATTTCATCACAGACAACAAGATCGACATAGCCCTAATTTGTGAAATAAAAACAACTAGCAGAAGACCTATCCAACTAAATGGATTCTGTGTATACACAGCCATTCATTCTAATGACAGAGGAGCAGGAGGAGCAGCTGTTATAATACGAAGAAATATTAGGCACTTTCCTCTCGAGCCAATCGCCACAGAGCGAGTCCAGCTCTCACTTGTCAAAGTCAACACAGATCTTGGCGAAATCACGTTTGGTGCGATCTACTGTCCCCCCAGATTCACCTGGCGGAGCGACGATTTTTCTGACCTGCTCACCTGCATGAACAACAGCAAATATATTGTAGCAGGCGATTGGAACTCCAAACACCCTCTATGGGGCTCGAGATCCGTCAACGCACGGGGAAGGGAGCTTGCCTGCACTCTCCAAACGCATCAGGCTGATATCCTTGCAACAGGCGCCCCCACTTGCTACCCCAGCAGATTAGATGCCACGCCCTCATATATCGATTTTGCAATATACAAAGGCGTACCCCACGCAATGCTTAGAATATACGATAGTTGGGACCTGGAGTCTGACCATCTTGCATTGGTCATTGACTTAGACTCCGAAGGAACTGAGATGACAACGAACTCGCGGCTCCTAACCAGAAATGCCAATATCGCAGCATTCAGAAACTCACTAAATAGGTCCATCCATCTCA